CAGGCCGTCGTTCTAAGCGCTTGGTAGCCGGGATCGCTGCCTGGTAATGACAGGCAGGTTGCTTGCCATGTCGCGATCCAAATAGGCCATATACATTTTGTTGGTGGATCGATGCGTCAAATTTACCGGTCATAATTTTCTATTTTCCTTTAGTTAGTTTCTCTCAGAATAAAGAAAAAAACACCTAATGCAAGGGGAAAATTAATCTTTTTCAAAATAACTGGCTTGTAATTTCATCGTGCGAGACTGTTATCCAGGAAAGGGATTAAACAGCAGGTTTGCTATGGAACCATTGATTCCGGCCGGATCCTGAACCTCCTTTTGTGTCATTGCGTGCATGCGAGACCATTCCTGAAGGGAAAGACCCGATTAGTCTGCACAACTCAGTCACTCAGAGATCCCACGGAGATTTGGTCCCCCGAATGATTGGCTGAACCTGAACCGGAGGACATATTGGCGCTGAACGGGAGTAGCTTTTTTTTAAAAAAAAAAAAAGCTTTTGAATTTTAAACGAAACCCCACCGGCCACCAGGTGTGAGCAATTCATAGGCGGCACGAACGGATCGTCGGCGACGACGCGCGCTGACTCCATGTCCATGACCATGGAGCCTGCTGGACTGCTGGAGGGACGCCTGCCAAGACTGCAACTCTGCAAGCTAATCCTGGAAGGAAGGCAGGAGGCAGCGGCATTATTGAAGAGGCGATCGATGGGGAACTACCTGTCTGAAACATCTCTGTCTCCTTCCCCGGGCGCAACTGACCAGGGCCGGCCAGTCCAGATCGCCGCTACCGTGCGGAGGCGTTGCTGCCCTGCTCTGCGACTGCAAGTGCAATGCACAACAAGCAGATCGTGCTCAGGAGGTAGGGACGTCACAGTCTCAGACGTACTACGTGGCCATGTCTCAGGCTAGTCTAGTCTCAGATCCATGTTATCGCCTCCCCTGTCTCTCTCCCTGCAATGGCCTGGCCGTGCATCTCGGCTGCCGCTCCATGCCATTGCCAGGCATGTGGGCATGTTCATGTCATGGACGCGACAAAAAAAAAAAGGGATTTTCTCCCTCTCTCTCTCTCCTCTTCCCTTGGCGTTGTTTTCCGCCACCGTGTTCGTGTCGCTGCGTTTGGTCGCGAACCAGGCGCCACCGTGTTGGATCAGAATTCGCCGCGGCTCGCGCTTTCGCATGGCCAAGCAGGCTTGGCGTGGCTCGCTAGCGAGCTGCGGCAGCACAGCGACCAAGGGCGACAATGTCGTCGTCGTTTTCGTGGAGGAGTGCCAGGTGCCTCCTCTTGCACTGTCGTGCGACGGACAGACATGGCGAGGAGGACGGCTCGGACAGGGCAGGAGGACATGCAAACCACACACCTGTGTCTCTGTGTGTGCACCGTGTTAACGGTCTTGAAAACTACTGCTGTAGCTGTAGCTGTAGCTGTAGGAGTATCGTCCAGCGACAGGGTATATGCTCGACAGTCGGCTCGTAGGAGTATCGTCCAGCGACAAGATTACCAAGGTATACTGCTCGACAGTCAAAGCCAAACAGAAAAGAGACAGAGAAGCTGCCAAATTCTCAAGATTACCTCAAGATTACCAAGATCCTGTACATGACTGCCACTAACTGCATTCCCTCCCTCTCTTTGGCAAAGCCAAACAGAAAAGAGAAAAAGAAAGCATGCCCTTTGTGGGTAGCTATCTCAAATTCTCAACATATGCACTCATTGTCTGAGCTCTGAGGTGCTAGAAAACTTTTATAAAGCTAGTCCTCAAATGTAAATTGTAGAAAATCTACAATATCATCGAGGACGCTTACTATTATAAAATTTCAATAACTGGAAGCAAAACCATCCGTAAGGTTGAAAAAAAAGAGGGATGGTGGGCTATTTTTTTCTGGAAGAAAAAAAAGGGGGATGGTGGGCTATTTTTTTTTCTTGGTGTATATTGCTTTCCTGGCTATTCTGCATAAATCAAGAGTTACAGGTTATAACACGTGTTGTGAGGAAACAGAGTCAAAATCGCAGACAGCGATCAAGTTAATGCTTGAAAGGTTCCCTATATCATTTTGTGTGTTTTTTTTCTATTAGTAACAGATAAAAAGGCTTGTCTTAAGGAAAAATAACATTTCTTCGGGCAATGCATGCCTGTGAGAAATACCCTGCTCATTGGTGCTTCGGAAATGTGACTCTGTTTTCTTACATCTTTTTTTTTTTTGGAAAAAAATGTTCCTTATTTCTTCCTCTAGCCTTTCACAATGATTGATTCAGTAGCTATGCTTACTGTAAATGATTAACTCAACACACATACTAAATCAACACACATACTAACTTGCAACGACAAATCAACAAAATGCATTCTAAATACAAGGTGCTGTTGACATTGACAATTAACGGGTAATAACTTCCATTTTGAATTTGCTTTGACAAAACATAAAACGGCATACCATTGTACATACTAATGTGTGTTTATTTTGAATGTATGTACTATTTTATTTCGTTGCGCAACAACAAGCTAGTAATGTTGCATGTATCAAGGCATAATCAAACGATATTTGTGGTTTGTTACCTATACTAAAATAAACAAACGAGAACAGGTGGCAAGATAACGCTATAGTACACCCCTCATGCTCGTGCAAGTATCCACGTCTACGACCTAATTACAAACGTACTTAATTAGCGTTGATCCTGAGTAGGATGTCTCCTAGATGCAGGACAAAGCGTGTTTTATTAACAACAATGGAAATAATCAACTCAAAGACATGGTTTATACGGAGTATAAAAGAATTAAGTAAACTACTAGCCCTGCAGAAATTCCTTTGTCTATTTTCTCTCCTTCGATTTCTATTGTACCATCATCATTTTCTGTCAACTGTGAGCCCATGACCCAGTCAACGATTAGTTGGCGGACAAGTGTTGCCACCAGCCGCATTTCCGTTTGGGCCATGAAGAATGTCAATGTTAAATTAATATACTCCGATTAAGCTTTGATAGCTAGCTTTCCTTCAGGGAGATTTAATGCTGATAGAATTGCAACCATCAGATGACGCCGGCTCCATCAATGAGAAGAAAAAAACTTAATGATTGTATGTGATGCATGCACAAAAGTGTTTCGAATACCACTACCAACCGATTGATACCGATATCTCCAAATGCATCTATGCTTAAATTTTGGCTTTACCTTAAGAGTCACCAAAGTCTTTCTTAATGCCGTTGATCATGCAGGTTTGGGCTAAACCATATGATGACTATGTTTCAGTCAGGTCGTTAATTACCACATCTGAAACAATGATTGTTCAGCATTAGTGACCAAACAAACTTGGTTTGGTTAACAAAGGCAGTTTTTATTTATTATTTATAATGAGCTCTGGAGTTCTCTCTGAACATCGTGGTTTCAAGTTGCCTTCTCTCTTCATTTCTGTTGGGACGTTTGTGTCACAACAACACTTCAATAATGGATATGCCATGGTTTAATGACAATTTTGTTCCTCTGGCGGCACTAAACTATACGACAAGAGGTACGTGCTCAAACCGTTTCCACATGTTTAAACAATTGCTAATTATGCATGTACTGGCAACAAGACAAAAACATAGAGTATTATATTATGGATCTATAAAAATACAAAGCTGTCCTGTACGGTATCTGAATACTGGAGAGGGCTGGCTATATATGTGCAGGAAACTTTTGCTGTCTTCCTGATTAAATAAAGTATATTTATTTATATATTCCAGCTTGGACATATTCTCTTTTTATTACTGTATTACTAGTTAATTCGTAAAGATATTCTTTTTCTTTTCATACAGGTACTCGTGATTCGTTGACATCTAGTAATTTTATTTGCAGGAGCAAAGACTACCATTTGGGGCAGGTTTTGTAATGCTGTTTAATAACAAATATTATATTTTGACATTTGTTTTTGTACTCTATTTGTAGCTGATTTGTCCAAAAAACGTGCTGGCGTTCAGACTTGGAAGCGCAGGACCGTACTATAAATTGTTAATTGCAAGGTGTGTCATCAACTGAGCGGTTTCATATAATGTTAACAGGTACTTTAGAACTAAATTTCGAAAGTTCAAATAGTTATTAGTAGTATCTCGTCGAGATCTATATAAAATTATTTTTATTTAATACTATAAGATATAGTAATGAGGATGGTTTGAATTATGGTATACAACTTGACTCATTTATGCACGTTGAGCGTTTCAAGACCACTTTCCATCGCGGTCAACTTTGACCACTTATTCCGATAATCTGATTTTTATGCTTACAATTTCAATGCTTTATTATCATGTACTCTCGAGAATACTCTACGCCGAGCTGAGAAAAAAAAAGGTCAAACCCCATCTTTTTGTTCGAGCAAGATGCATAGAGCAGCGGAACAGAGGATGGCCTTGATTCGTTGTTTCTGCGAGGGGGACAATTCATATTCCATTTCCAATTTGACGCTTCAACTACTTCAAGCGGTACTTTTCAACGAGCGAACAATGTTTTTCTCTCAATCAATAAATATAAGCCAAATTTCAACGAAACATACCTAGCTAGCTCAAATCCTTTATAAAGGATGCGAACATATTTTTTTGAAAGGGATGCCGATATATTTAACTAAATACAAGTCAGGATCATGTGATCTGAATCCGCTACTCTGCATCAGTACAACAGTTTGACCTTCGCTACTCTGCTAGCGCGCAGAAAATCTATCCAATCCAACATCACATCACTTTACACCATTTACCCTTTTTTTCGGAGGGCTATTGTATTGTCGCCGAGAAGAACGGCACTAGAACATTGCCAACAATGAGTCAATCACACCAACATTTGCAACAGGTCCTGTCACAATTTACACCATGGTCGGATGCCATACGAATAAGATACACAATCTGCGCACTTATACCCAATGCAAACCACCGTGGCCAAATAATGTTTTTTTTTGACGTAACATCGATAAGTGAACCTCATTTTGGTCTACAATTTCCAAAATGAACAAAAAAATTGCCACCATTTGAGTGAACAATGCAACTTAAAGGCCAAACATCAAGTCCATAACTTTGGACAAGACAGACTTTGTAGGCGCAGCAATGGCCCCAGACGCGCCAAGATTGCTCTCATTGCAGCTGCCATTTGGCACAGAGTTGCTAGGTAGAGGTGCTAGTGCATTCCTGGTTGCAAATCCACTTGGTGCTACAGGTTGCGATGTAAATGTGACTGTAGCACTGCCCTGATAGTTCTCGTTAGTGTTCTCATTCAGGTACTGCTGCTGCCATGGATCCACTAGCTTCACACCAATAATAAGAACACTGTTTAACTGCTGACCATGTTTGGCGAGTGCTTTCTGTGCATCATGCCGGCTCTGAACATAAGAAAAAAACAGGACACACAAAGTCAGCAAAGATAATTGCACCGATAACAAAAAAGACAACTGCCATCTTAAGCAGAGTGAGTCCAATTAGAGAAAGCTATTGCTGGTAGTCAGAAAACAAAGGCATCATAAGGTACTGTCCCGTAACAGAGAGTAAATAAAATCTGTAATATACTGTAAAAATACATGATGATAAAAAGGGAAATATGAGCAAGAAACTCCAAATCCCAACCTATCTTGTACATGGAAATCTGAGGTGGATCAACAAAATAACTCTTTTGTCAAACCTCTGCAAAGTGTTGTTTACATCATTACTCCCTCCATCTCAAATTATAAGTCATTCCAACCTTCTTGGAGAGTCAAAACACCTCAAGTTTGACCAAATTTATATAATAAAACAATAATATTTATGACATTAAATAAGTATCATTAGATTCTTTATTAATTATTATATTTTCATAGTATATCTATTTGATGTCATAAATCTTTGTAATTTCTCTATAATTTTGATCAAACTTAAGATGCTTTGACTCTCCAAGAAAGATGGAATGACTTATAATTTGGAATGGAGTGAGTACATCCCAAACTGGGCTAGCCAGAAAATGTCTGGTTAGTTGCTTTTGTGATAACAGAATTGTTAATATTATTATGTGAGAATATTATTGGATAGATCAAATAACTCCACTTACTAACTGGATAGATCAAATAAGTAAAAGAACATTATTGCTGAAGTAAACAAAGCCACCAATAGCATTTTAATTTTGGTGCTTGAATTAGCCATACCCAGGGATCACTTTCATTCAACAATTTCCCAAATAACCTACAAAGTCTAGCTTGTACAACAAATGACATGGTTTATTTTGCACTAATTCTCAGGGACAATTATCCATAAAAAGTAGGTAGCAAATATCCAGTGAGTTATCAGTGTTCAAAGCCTCAAACAGTAGATCTGTAAATAGTTACCTGATACAAGATATGCACCCAGTTCGCATCCCTTGGACCAGGAACATGTCTCAAGACTATCCCACACTTCTCAAATTCTCGCAGCACCATGTTAGTATCACCAGGCGAAAATCTGAAAGAAATAAGATGGAAGATTAATAAGCCTGTAATACATTATAACACACTAACATCACTGGCATCCAACCATCAGGTCTATTCAAGCGCAGGGGCATACTGGTGGCATATGGATTGCATGATTTTTCAAAATACTTGATCCACCAAAGTATATTGGGTGTATTAGGATTAAAGATGTAACTTCATAGATTTTGACCAATGATTACTCAAATTATATGCAATTGCTGACATAAGTAAGAGTAATTGATAATTAACATAAAAGTATGCTTCTATTTTTTTTCCCAAATCCTAACAAACCTTACAAAAACAAACAGAGGAACTGTAGACACCTATATTAGAACATTTAGGCTAATGTATAGTGCAGCAGTGCACATAAATGTAGGTCAGAAATTAAAATACATGCTGAATCATTACAAGATAAGAGATCCTAAAACTGCCTGTTTGATATTTGTTGGGATTTTCCTCTCCTAAGTTTGAAAAATTGTGCACTCAACACCCTATACATAATGCATGTTTCCATTCCCCACCAACATGTTGCCAACTTTATCAGTATGACAATAACAAAAGGCAAGCCTTATCATTGGAGAGGATAACCAATCTGTTGGATATGAACATTGAATCACTCTATCACATAGGCTTAGCAGAATATGATCCGAGGGAGGTACATCAACAAAATATAAGGTATCCTGGTTTACAACTATACTAGCAAACTCTACCCATGACCTCTAAAGTTCCTCTTTGTGACTTGCTTGTGTGCTTCAAGCATTAACTGGGGGCGAGGTCACATACCCGAAAACGGTGACCCACTCCGCCTCGTCGACCCGTCCAGCAGCCGGAGCCGAATCTCTCGGCATCTCCGGCCGCGCCACCTCCCTGGGAGGCGGCAGCGTGATCAACGCTACCTTCTGCTGCTGTGACTGCTGACCCGACGGCGTCATCGGGGACTGCTGTTGGTGCTGCACGACGCCATCCATCGGTGATCCCTCCCTGGGCTTCTCCTCCCTCGAGGGGGTCCACCACGCCGAGGGGGCCGGGGAGCCGTTGGACCGCATTGGCGAGGAGAAGAGGCCGGCGCCACGCAAGGGGGCTGAGGCGAGGGGGTCGCAGTCGGCTGCGGAGGCATGGCCGGCTGCGGGGAGGGGGATTGGTGGGAGAGGTCGTCGAGGGAGAGCAGCGGCGGAGGCGGCGGCGGTGTGGAGGTTTGCGTCTCGCGCCGCACCGAGGCGGGTGGGAGGCGGAACGACGAGGAGATCGGGGACGACAGGTCCCGCAGGAACGGCGGGTGGTGGCGCCGGTGGTCCGGCCTGGAGGCACTCATGACGGCGACGGAGAGACGAAACCCTAGCAGAGGAAGTAGAAGTGGAGTTCCACAGTCGAGGGCGCCTTGGGTTTTTGTCAGGACCGAGGTCCAGTCCTCTGTGCCAAATGAGCAACTGGAGTCGGTGCCGGGCTCGGCGGGAGGAAGACCGGAGCGGGCCAAGATGAAGAGCGCTCGGGTGTTTGGGCCGTAACGGGTGAATGTGTGAGCCCAGCAAGTGTAGCGGGTGCGTGCGTGAGTATCTTTCACATATATGTGTTGGTCTCGGCCTGGAAGAGGGTCATGACGTTTGTAAACAAATATTCCAAAGATTCGTCTTCCTCCTATCCTTCCTGCTCTGCTGCCTCGCCCCTGCTCCGATTCCTCTTCCCCTTCCTCGATTTGCTGACAAATTGGTATCTAGAGCCTATCGTTCCTTGGCCGATCTATCCTATCCCCATCCTGAAACCCACGAGATCATTCACGACTATTTCACCAGGTTCGTAAGCATCTCGGTGCCATGGATCCCAACACCAAGCTTCTGCTGGATGAGCTCAAGTCCGTGAAGACCTCCCTCGAATCGTCCCTCGGTGGGCGTATAGGGGAGGTGGAGGCGTCGCTGGGCAAGCGGATCGAGGCGGTGGAGCACTCCATCACGAATCGATTCAACCGATTGGAGGATGCCGCCAAGGTGTTCGACGAATGAAAGCCCAAGGTGGATGCGTCGGTGGCGGAGCTACGCTCGGAGTTGGGCGCGATTCACAAGTCCGACGTGGTGGTGGAGCAGTTGCGCAAAGAGATGATTGCCCTTCACAAAACTGTGAGTCGTGTGGTGCTCGACTCGGAGCCGGCGACCACCGCTGGTGTCCTGAAGTCCCAACCCGTGGTGGCCACGGCGACATCATCTGCCGGGCACCCGGCCATCGGCCTGTTTGTTGGGCACGGCGTTGCACATCAGCATCGGGGGTTTGAGTCCATGGCTCAACCCTCGGTCAAGGGTAAGCTCACCATCCACTCCCTTCCCCAACCCACCCATCAGTTTGTCCTGCATCGGTCTCTCTCTAGCTCAGCGTTGGACATGGGGGATCGAGAGTTTTTGGGTGTTGAGGGTGCGCCGCATGAGCATCGCGCACATTGGGTGCCTCAGTATTCTAGTAGCAAGTTACCGAAGATGGATTTCTAGTTTTTGATGGGGAGGATCCAAAGCTGTGGCTCAGTCGTTGTGATGATTATTTTGACATGTATTCTGTTGAGCCCAGTCAATGGATTCGTGTAGCCACAATGCGGATGACAGGCGCTGCATCTCGCTGGCTGCAGTCCTTGGATCCAAAGGTGAAGAAGGTTAGCTGGGAGGAGTTTTGTAAGTTGGTTCTAGATCGTTTTGGTCAGGATCAGTATGAGTTGTTGATTCGCCAGTTATTTCACATACGTCAAACGGGGAGTGTTCAGGAGTATGCAGATAGGTTTACTGGTTTGGTAGATCAACTCATAGCTTATGGTAAAACTTCAGATCCCCTATTTTATGCTATGCGCTTTGTGGATGGGTTGAGGGATGACATACGTTCTGTTGTGCATATGCAACACCCTTCTATTGTGGATGCTACTGTGTTCTCGCCTTGTTGTAGGAAGAACTGGTGGATCCTGGGCGGAGGAAGTCGGCGTCCAAGTCTCTGCCCATGCCGCCGCCGCCATCATCTCCTGATCGTGGCGGTCGGGCAGCTGCGGGTGGGGCTCAGGTTGATGACCGTCGGCCCCGTGGAGTGGAGGACAAGTTGAACACGCTACGGTCTTATAGGCGCGCCCGCGGCTTGTGTGTTCGCTGTGGGGAGAAATGATCTCACGACCACAAATGTCCTGAAGCTCTTCAGTTGCACGCTCTACAAGAGTTTTGGGAGATGTGCAATACTAATGAATCTGACTGTGTTGACGAAGCTACCACTGAGGATGATTCTCCACAAGTTTTTGCTGTCCAAGTGCTAGCATCAGTTGCTGCTCCCACTCCAGTTCGGTCTATCCACTTGGAGGGCATGGTTCAGGGTATTCCGATTCAGATTTTGGTGGATTCTGGCAGTTCTTGCTCGTTTGTCAGCACTGATTTAGCAAGTAAGTTGACTGGTGGCCAATCTCTAGCAGTTCCACCTTGAGTTCGGATTGCTGATGGTAGCATCGTTGAGTGACCGTAGTTTTTCAGTGATATCTCTTAGGAAGTGCAACGGTGTCAGTTCAGTTTAGCTTTCTTGGCTTTCCCTATGCCATCATATGATATGATTCACGGCATGGACTGGTTGGCACGTCATAGCCCCATGCAGATTGACTAGCAGCACAAGTGGCTCTTGATTCCTCATGGACAAACCATGGTTCGCTTGCAAGGAAAGTTGATAGCGTTACCGAAGGGATCAGTTATCCAAGTGACTGTTGTGTCAGGTGAAGACACCTCTCAACCGACTTCTGTTCATCCAGCTGTGTCTGAAATATTGCAACAGTTTGAGTCGATTTTTGCTCCTCCAACTGGTTACCCTCCTGCATGGCCTTTTGATCATGCTATTCCCCTTATTCCAGGGGCCTCGCCCGTGCAAGTTCGCCCTTATCGCTACCCGCCCGCTGTCAAGGATGAAATTGAGAGGCAAGTAATGGATATGCTCAAGGCTGGCATCATTCAACCTAGTAACAGTCCACTCTCTTCCTGTGTATTACTTGTCAAGAAGAAGGACGGGTCATTCTGGTTTTGTGTGGATTTCCGACACTTGAACGCGATTACTGCTAAGGCCAAATATCCGGTACCGGTGATTGAGGAGTTGCTAGATGAGCTGACTCATGCCTCCTAGTTTACTTGTCTGGATCTCACAGTCGGCTATCACCAAATCCATTTGTAGCCGGGTGAAGAATCGAAAATAGCTTTCCAAACCCACTCGGGTCAGTATGAGTTCGGGTCATGCTATTTGGACTCACTAGGGCACCGGGCACTTTCTAGAAAGCGATGAACACTACTCTGACACCATTGCTTCACAAGGGAGTTTTGGTTTTATTTGATGATATCCTCATTTACAGCCGGTCGCTTGAAGAACATTTGGTCCATCTTCAGCAGGTGTTGGAACTCTTACGCCATGATCAGTGGCAAGTTAAACGCTCCAAATGTGTCTTCGCCCAACGTTAGTTGAAATATTTGGGACATGTTATTTCTAAGCAAGGCGTGGCGACTGATCCGGACAAGGTCCAGGCAGTTCTTAATTGGCCAGTACCATCATCGGTTAAGGAGCTTCGCAGCTTCTTAGGACTAGCGGGCTACTACAGGCGCTTTGTGAAGCACTTTGGGGTGATCTCGGCCCTCGAAAAATTGCTGAAGAAAGGAGCATTGTTCATATGGTTGATAGTTCATGATGCTACTTTTCACGCCCTAAAGCAGGCCCTAACGTCTGCTCCAGTGTTGGCCTTACCGGACTTTTCCAAGCCATTATGTGTGGAGACAGATGCAAGCGAGACTGGCATTGGTGCAGGCTTACATAGGAGGGTCATCTGCTAGCTTTCCTTAGTAAATCTCGTGTCCACGCTCCCAAGGGTTGTCTACATACGAGAAAGAATATTTGGCTATCCTTTTGGCACTGGATCATTGGCGCAGTTACTTACAGCATGCTGAATTCCTCATTTTGACTGATCAGAAAAGTTTGGTTCAGTTATCGGAGCAGCGACTACACACACCTTGGCAGCAAAAGGTTTTCACTAAGCTCCTCGGATTGCAGTACCAGATTGTCTATTGCAAGGGAGTGGATAACCGCGCTGCTGATGCTTTGTCTCGAGTACCAAGCACTGCAGTGTTTCGCGGTATCTGTTGCTCAACCACAATGGTTGCAAGAGGTGGTTGCTTATTATGAACCAGATGCCCATGTGCAATAGACTAATTGATAAACTGGTCATTGATCCTTCTGTTGTACCCCGTTTCACTTTTCGGGATGGACTGCTGCACTACAATCAGCGCGTCTGGATCGGCCATAATGTGGAGCTCCAGACTCATATCATTGCTGCCCTCCACGACAGTGCTATAGGGGGTCACTCCAGTATTCCGGTGACTTATCGTGTATCAAGCAGCTATTTGCCTGGACATGTTTAAAATCAGCAGTCCAAGAATTTGTGCGTTCCTGTTTAACTTGTCAGCAAGCCAAGCCGGACCGATCTCGCTTACCTGGTCTTCTGCAACCCTTATCGGTCTCGGATCGTGCCTGGCAAGTGATCTCCATGGATTCCATTGAAGGTCTTCCATTGTCAGGAGGCTTTAACTGCATTCTTGTTGTCGTGGATACTTTTTCCAAGTATGCACATTTTCTAGGCCTTAAACATCCTTTCACTGCTGCTGGGGTAGCGAAGCTATTTTTATCCCAAGTCTACAAGTTGCACGGGTTGCCCAATGCTATCATCTCAGATCAGGATCGTATCTTTACCAGTCACTTATGGCGGGAGCTGTTCAAATTGGCTGGGGTTGATCTGTGTATGAGCTCAGCATATCACCCGTAATCGGATGGACAAACTGAGAGAGTCAATCAGTGCTTGGAGGCTTTCCTCAGGTGTTATGTCCATGCTTGTCCTCACCACTGGAGTTCTTGGCTTGATGTGGCAGAGTTCTGGTATAACACATCACTCCATTCTGCTCTTGGTCGTTCGCCATTCGAGGTGCTGTATGGATTT